CTCTGATTGGCTATGGCGCACTGGTCTGCGTAGACTCCAGTCCTGGACGAGACAGATGTTTTTATTATGTTTTATTTACTGAAGTGTCTATTGATTGTCCAAATGCACGGCCGCTTTCCCACTCTATATTGCTAAAGAATATTCACAAGTGCTTTAGTATATGTAATTCCCAAACATTCTAAGAATTTATGAAAAATGTGAAAATGACCATACAGTGAGGGAAAAAAGTATTTGATCCCCTGCTGATTTTGTACGTTTGCCCACTGACAAAGAAATGATCAGTCTATAATTTTAATGGTAGGTTTATTTGAACAGTGAGAGACAGAATAACAACAAAAAAATCCTGAAAAACGCATGTAAAAAATGTTATAAATTGATTTGCATTTTAATGAGGGAAATAAGTATTTGACCCCCTCTCAATCAGAAAGATTTCTGGCTCCCAGGTGTCTTTTATACAGATAACGAGCTGAGATTAGGAGCACACTCTTAAAGGGAGTGCTCCTAATCTCAGCTTGTTACCTGTATAAAAGACACCTGTCCACAGAAGCAATCAATCATTTTTACATTTACATTTTAGTCATTTAGCAGACGCTCTTATCCAGAGCGACTTACAGGAGCAATTAGGGTTAAGTGCCTTGCTCAAGGGCACATTAACGTCATTTAGCAGACGCTCTTAACCAGAGCGACTCACAAATTGGTGCGTTCACCCTATAGCCAGTGGGATAACCACTTTACAATTTGGGGGGGGGGGGGGGGGGGGGGGGGGGGGGGGGGTAGAAGGATTACTTTATCCTAACCCAGGTATTCCTTAAAGAGGTGGGGTTTCAAATGTCTCCGGAAGGTGGTGAGAGACTCCGCTGTCCTGGCGTCGTGAGGGAGCTTGTTCCACCATTGGGGTGCCAGAGCAGCGAACAGTTTTGACTGGGCTGAGCGGGAACTATGCTTCCGCAGAGGAAGGGGAGCCAGCAGGCCAGAGGTGGATGAACGCAATGCCCTCGTTTGGGTGTAGGGACTGATCAGAGCCTGAAGGTACAGAGGTGCCGTTCCCCTCACTGCTCCATAGGCAAGCACCATGGTCTTGTAGCGGATGCGAGCTTCAACTGGAAGCCAGTGGAGTGTGCGGAGGAGGGGGGTGACGTGAGAGAACTCAATCAGATTCCAAACTCTCCACCATGGCCAAGACCAAAGAGCTCTCCAAGGATGTCAGGGAGAAGATTGTAGACCTACACAAGGCTGGAATGGGCTACAAGACCATCGCCAAGCAGCTTGGTGAGAAGGTGACAACAGTTGGTGCGATTATTCGCATATGGAAGAAACAAAAAAAACACAAAATAACTGTCAATCTCCCTCGGCCTGGGGCTCCATGCAAGTTCTCACCTTGTGGAGTTGCAATGATCCTGAGAACAGTGAGGAATCAGCCCAGAACCACGCAGGAGGATCTTGTCAATGATCTCAAGGCAGCTGGGACTATAGTCACCAATAAAACAATTGGTAACACACTACGCCGTGAAGGACTGAAATCCTGCAGCGCCCACTCAAGAAAGCACATATACAGGGCCGTCTGAAGTTTGCCAATGAACATCTGAATGATTCAGAGGAGAACTGGGTGAAAGTGTTGTGGTCAGATGAGACCAAAATCAAGCTCTTTGGCATCAACTCAACTCGCCGTGTTTGGAGGAGGAGGAATGCTGCCTATGACCCCAAGAACACCATCCCCACCGTCAAACATGGAGGTGGAAACATTATGCTTTGGGGGTGTTTTTCTGCTAAGGGGACAGGACAACTTCACCGCATCAAAGGGACGATGGACGGGGCCATGTACCGTCAAATCTTGGGTGAGAACCTCCTTCCCTCAGCCAGGGCATTGAAAATGGGTCGTGGATGGGTATTCCAACATGACAATGACCCAAAACACACGGCCAAGGTAACAAAGGAGTGGCTCAAGAAGAAGCACATTAAGGTCCTGGAGTGGCCTAGCCAGTCTCCAGACCTTAATCCCATAGAAAATCTGTGGAGGGAGCTGAAAGTTTGAGTTGCCAAACGTCAGCCTCGAAACCTTAATGACTTGGAGAAGATCTGCAAAGAGGAGTGGAACAAAATCCCTCCTGAGATGTGTGCAAACCTGGTGGCCAACTACAAGAAACGTCTGACCTCTGTGATTGCCAACAAGAGTTTTGCCACCAAGTACTACGTCATGTTTTGCAGAGGGGTCAAATACTTATTTCCCTCATTAAAATGCAAATCAATTTGTAACATTTTTGACATGCGTTTTTCTGGATTTTTTTGTTGTTATTCTGTCTCTCACTGTTCAAATAAACCTACCATTAAAATGATAGACTGATCATGCCTTTGTCAGTGGGCAAACATACAAAATCAGCAGGGGATCAAATACTTTTTTTGGGATTTGATTTACGCTTGGGGTTATTGTCTTGCTGGAAGATCCACTTGCAGCCATGTGTCAGCCTCCTGGCAGAGGCAACTAAGTTTTTGGCGAAAATATCTTGGTACTTGGTAAAGTTCATGATGCCATTGACCTTAAAGGATAAGTTTGCTTTTTTACAACCAAATCGAAATGTTTTATGTAAATGGCATGTTATAGAATCGTCCAGACACTTTTTTCTCAATTTCACTTGTTTTTGATAAACTTACCCCAACCAGCGATTCACTTCCTCATCCTCATTGTGCAGTACGGGGGCTCTGAAAAAAATCATGAACAAATGCTCCAAAAACACCCAAATACCTCCTTTTAGAAACAGGTCTTTAGATGTATCCATGAAATTGTATCATTCCGAACTTTATCCGCAACGTTATATTCCATTTTGTGCTACTCAAGCTGTTTCCACTTTCCAGCTGTTCCATTCTCTATGTAGCCTGCTGCTAGAATGGACGGAGAGGTATCGATCAAGTCACAACAAAATGGTATATAACATTGCGGATAAAGTTAGGAATGACACAATTTCATGTGTATACCATCTAAAGACCTGCATCACTATACTGAGAGCTTTTTTTAAATGAAGTATTTGGGTGTTTTTGGAGCCTTTGTAAAATAAAAAATAAGAGCCCCAGTACATGATGCACAACGAAGATGAGGAAGTGAATCGCTGGTTGGGGTAAGTTTCTCAAAAACAAGTGAAATTGAGAAAAAAGTGTCTGGACCTTTCTATAACATGCCATTTACATAAAAAATTGAGATTTAGTTGTAAAAAAGCAAAATTCTCCTTTAACAAAGGCCCCAGGACCAGTGGAAGAAAGATAGCCCCATAGCATCAAAAATCCACCATCATATTTTACTGTAGGTATGAGGTACTTTTCTGCATATGCTTCTGTTTTTCAACACCAAACCCACCACTGGTGTGCATGGACAAAGAGCTGTATTTTCATGTCATCTGACCATACAGTGGCACCGCCTGGAGTTTGATAAGCGGCATTGGCTCTTTGATTGGAACCAGTGCTTTGGTTAGAGACCATGTAAATAGAGCTCTTTGGCCACGCACAACAGTGGTGGGTTTGGCGTTGAAAAACAGAACCATATGCAGAAAAGTACCTCATACCTACTTGTTAAACAAAATGTCCTTCTTTGAGCAAATGTTAGAATACAATATAGCTCATCTTTATCAAGAGTGCCAATAATTATGGACCACACTGTATGTGTGGATGAGCCGTTGGTGTGTGGCTGTGGGAATGTATGTTTGTTGAGATTTCAGAGTTGAAGCTGCGGTGAGGCTGCAGGGCAATTATGTGAAACAGATCAAATTGAAAACATTGAATGAGCAGCTTTGAGTCTGGACATTCTTTGATGCTTTCTGTAGCAGTTCTCTGCTGAGGAACATACTGTACATGTACAGTCTTTATATCACTGTGCGCATGTACATATCCCTGCCTGGCCCCATTTAGCTGTTTGATCTAGCTCCACATAGCTAGGGCTTATAATAGCATTACAGGTCCTTTACCAATAGAAAATAGCCTCCTCAATAAAAGTATCTCCCAAGCTGCCCATTTTAATGAACTCTTCCAGGGATGCAAGAGAGGCAAAACACACAACTTTCTTTCAAGCTATTCCCGTTAAGCAAAAGCTTGTTACTAAGTACCAGTACAAAAATATGTAAATAATATTAATAAAAAATGAATGACTAATTAAGATAAAAGGCAAACAATGGTCGCTGTATTATTAGATTTTTTTTGCAGAGCTTACAACCACATTTTCCTACACAATAATAAATATAGAAATTAACACTTGCAGGTTGTGACAAAATAGCTCCCTACACCTGGTTGCGGTTGGTCAATAAAGTAAACTGTAATAAATGGTCACCAATTACCCTTAAATAGGATGTAGCTCTACTAAATATCCTGTTTCATAGGCATGGTGCAATGTCCATTTCATCTAAAACGTACATGAAACATCTATAAATAAAAGAAATTGATGGGGGGAAAAAAAGTGAGACAAACTTTGGTGGCATAGATAGAAGCCAGTGGGGGTAAATTTAACATTGAACGGTTTTGGATTGAATGCAGTGGTTTTTATTTTGGTTTGTTGTCAATATTCAGTCTGACTCAGCAGCAGTAGAGTAGGTGATTATGCTTTATAAGCACGAGCTGTCTCTCTCTCATGTTCTGGTGTGCCAACAAAGCATTATAAAGCTGAAGTGGCTCCAGACCCTGAAGGGATATTCCATCATAAACAAACAAGCCACCCTGCCTCCCAATGGGTCTTTCACATCTGCATGTAAGCTGTGCACACAGCGCTGCTGACTGTCCCCTCATTTAAATGCATCATTGATTGCCATTTGTAAGCCATTAATCCACGTAAATGGATTTTGAAATGATGGCCATTCAGACAAAAAAAAATGCAACATGCAATTTAATACAGTAATCCTTTCAGAGACGAGACAGAAAAATGCAGGCCATAAGACTGAGCTTAGTAAATGGGAAAAGAATGGGAGCACTGCTAAAGTGATATGCAATAAAACTCCCAGAGCGAGAAACACAGGGAAAGACATGCATTAGGAATGACTTACTTCGTCTGATCCTGAACCGAAGATAAGCAGGTCAAAGGGGATCGCAGCCACCATGTCTATCAGGAACCAGCCTTTGAAATATTGAATGGCGATCTTCCCTGGCTGGCTGACCACTTCCTCGTTCAGATTCACATAGGTGGTCCGGAAGTTGATAACAATGTCAACGATGAACATGATGTCCACCATGAAATCCACCACGTTCAGGGGATTGCAGGAGTATCCACACTCGCGCCTCATTTGCTCCTCGCGGTCATTGAGTAGGAAAGCAGCAGAGTAGGGTGTGAGAATGGCTGTATAGATGACCAGCAGCAGGATGAGCCAGTCCCACATAGCTTTGAAGGGACTGTAGTGGAGGATGGTGAATCTGTCCATGCGTGGAGTCTGGAGCTTGTATTCTGGAAGGACATCAGCTCCCAGTGACAGTACCTGTAGTAGCATAGAGAGAAGAGGGGACAGCAACCACTAAGAGCACTAATTAACTAGGTTTCTGACAGAAATTATGTTTTATTCTGTAGATATGAGTGTCAAACTTTTGTCTGAATGGCAAAATATTCATCTATCTGACAGCTTTACCCGAGTCTGCTTTTAACTCACTTATCTCAGTAGCTGGATATTGCCGGAGCAGTCCAGGTAAAGTTCCTTGCTATGATTCAGCTAACCTGAGAGTAAGTGCTCCACAGTCCTCTCCTCTCATTTGACAGACATGACCGATTACCCCTGTCTTGGGATGTGAATAATGTGACTTCCAATATAGATGTGTTCCACAGGATCACTGCCTTACCGTCTCACATTCTAGTAGTAAGTTGTAGTAAATTCATCCATTGATTTTTTGGGGGTAGATCATTTTGAAAATGCGATTTGATATGATATGATAGTATTGAAGGAGGATAATCAGATAACGTATCCTAGCTGTACATCTTTTGAAAAGACTACCGTGTGCTCTTTTTTAGACATTTGTAGTGCTCGATTCATAACAATGGTATAGATACAACAGACGGTGTCCAATGTTCAACAGCTTCTTTATCATCTCTGTAAGCTTTTCTCCATGGTTGGACTCTATAGCTTATTATGTCCATTCAAGCAACGTTGTAATCTAACAGCCAGTGAGTACGTGGCTTTCCTCTCCTCTGGATCTTAATGAGCTCTGACAGGCTTCAAAGAAAGACCTATCTGCTGGTAAATAGTGCAGGAGAAATGATGAGGACAGAGGGCTTTGTTTTATGTTGCCTCAGCACATCCACAAGGATTCTTATGGATTCTTCAATGCATCCCGACAGGTACTGATGTGAAAAACCCATTGAATGGCCAATTCAAGGTACAGCAACACAGAAATAGGGAGTTCAGTAGGATGATGGCTGTATTTATGAGTGAGAATGGCTTGTCCCTTCTATAGATTGTCATTGTCAGGAGTGCTCTGTTTTCACCTGTCAAAGACGGTTTGAGTTTACTGGAAAGCTTGGTCTTCTGTCCTACAGACTGTGCTGAGGTTTGACACTGACATTAATGAGAGGACAGTCACTGTACAGCGGTTAGTTGTCCTAGGCACAAGCAGGAGTCTCACAGGAATGTCTAACATTCATTGATGAGATTGTTTCTCCAATTCATTGAGGATGCACAAGCAGCCATTAGTGCAAAATTTTTTATCATATGTGTTAGGCATTCGTTAGGTACATTCCTTATTTTGTGCATAGTGTAACATGAAAGTTGTATAAAAAAATTAATGTTATTATTCCAACAAATGTTACAACAGTCAAATGTGCTTTCCAGACAAATGGAGTCAACTGTCTCACCTGTGTGACTTTTTCAGTGACGTTGTGCGTTCTGTCCTTGACCTTGGGTGCTATGATAGTGTTTTCTGACGATGGGGGAGATTGTGCCTTATTGTCATTATTCCGCTCTGCGAAGTTGAGCGCAATCAGCGGGATCTTGTTGATGGTGCTGTACTTGTTGATGTTGGATTCCGAGGTGGAGCCCAGCAAACTGGACTTGAGATGATTGAACGGACCTGGAACGTAAAGAAAACCCAAAGGAATTGACTATAGAGAGAGAGGTGGTAATACAGTATAGCACAGCTCTAGTTAAGAGCATGCAGTAGTACGTGGACAGAGGTAAAAGCTGTAGCAGTGAGCCAAACCATCACATAATTGATGATAAAGCAAAATGGCTTTCTTTCATGCAGGTGTTGGGTGGGGATGGCAATAATATTGTTAGCAATCAGTGGAGGCAGCAGGCTTTCATTTAGGAGGTGTTGATCAATCATCAAAATACATTTATAATAGCTGACATTACAAAAATGTCACCACACCCAAATGTTTAAGTCATAGCACATTCTCAAGTGTAGCACTTCATTGAGAGTAGGATTTCAGGGAGAAATAATAATAATTCCTTGTGGGCAATTGGCTTGATTAGGATACATGCTTCAAACAGTCCAGTGCATGACAAGCATGGTCAGAGAACACATCGTTACCTCTGATATAGCGACCATTGTCTAAAAGCAGCATTATAGTGGTGAGAAGAAGAGAGAAAGAAAGAGTACTGTGGATGCAGATAATGCTGGCATAAATCTGTAATAGTATACTGTAATAAACAATTATTGAGCCAGGATCACTCACAAGTCACAAAGATGACAATAGCTCTGTCCCCATTCTAAATCTAGGTACCACAAAGCTTTCATTAGACATTTCATTATCCTACTTTACCTTCACTTGCGTGTCGGTCCCTGAATATGCTCTTGGAGTTGCTGAAGCCTTCTATGTCGTGGACAGAGGAGGCTCGCCTCATGCTGCTCCCGCTGATGCTGCCTCTGGAGATGTTGTGTGCCAGGCAGGTGGTGGACTGGTGCGCCTCCATCTGGTACAGCCTGTCCCACGGGTGCTGCTTGGGAGAGGAGTGGCTCAGGGGTCCGGGTCCATGCAAACTGGCCTGGGAGGAGTGGTGGCTGGAGCTGATGAGGGCCCGTGTGTCTTTGGCATCGGTGGGGCTGCAGTTGTCCTTGGTTGGGGGCGACTGGAAGTTGGTCAGAGCCACCGAGTCCTTGTTCTTTTTGGGGGAGGGGGAATCCACCATGACGGCATCTGGGTCTTCTTGTGGAAGAGACTGTTTGTTGGAGACCAGACTCAAGGCAGCCTGGCGGAATCGGAAGAATCGTCCCTTTCCTAAACAACAGAAAATGTTGGACGTGTTTATTCCTGCAGTAAACAATCAAATGATGAATTGACAAAAAAATTTGATTTTGACTTTATAACATAAAATGTCAAGGATCTAAATCAAAAGCAATAGCAACAACTCTTCAGTCAATTCAGTCACATTTTCAATCAATGCAAATCTCATTACGGTTCTTTGAGTTGGAAGGTGCACTTTCATTTCTCTGATTGTGTGGAATTCTATAATTGGATTACCTTATATGTGTTCATGATCAAACAGAGGAAGGTAAGCAGGAGAATCGACCTTTTAATCCAATGGCATTCGATGGTACGTGACTGAATCACCTTGGTCGGCCTATTACCTCTCAGTGCATAGTGTGTAAACTGCAGTTATGCCTATCATATATGTAGTGTTCTGTCTTCTTTGATGATTAATGAATTCAACTTTGCACGCCGCAGGGTATCATAATCTATCATACCGCGTTCAAGGGTATAAGTTGAAACACTTCACGGAAAAGGAATCTCCTTCCTTAATAGAACTGAGAGAGATGGTGTGTCCTGTCCAGTATCCCATGTATGTCTCATGTTTGTCCACTGTCCAGTAACATCTTCAGAGTTGACACCCAGGCACATATAAACGCCCCCTTGGGAGGGAACTGTAGTTTGGGCTCATTAACAATAGAAGAAGGGGTGAAAGTGAGCCCCAGGCTCACTCATAAATATGAGGCAGCCATCGTTCAGCACCCTCCATTCATATTGTTACTGCCATCTGTTTCCATTCCCCAGCCACACACAATAAAGCCATCACACTCAACAGGGCTCCTGGACAGGCCTCTGAAATAGCCCCTAATGGCAGGTCTGCAATTTACCCTCTTCTTTATGGACATAGTGATACATGCCTCAGTGTCTCTACTCTAGGTGTGTCAGTTTACAATCATATTAGATGCCCGAGGGAAGTAGGCGGAAGAGGGAAGACTTCTAGAGTGCTGCTTGTTTCAGATGAACTCTATGTTCCTGAAGCATATACAGTTAAAGGGGCAACTGCCCCTAAAAACCAACTCATCCTATGTGGCATTGATATGAGTCAGAAACAGTCAATCTAGTCTAAAACAGAGTTTGGAACCTCAGTGCATCACAACGAGTAAATGAAGGTTGGGTTTGGATTACAATTATGTCAACAAATCATCCCATAAGGGAAAGTAATACATGGCTATATACAGTACCAGTCAAAAGTTTGGACACACCTACCTGTAGTAACCAAAAAAGTGTTAAACAAATCAAAATATATTTTATATTTGAGATTCTTCAAATAGCCACCCTTTGCCTTGATGACATCTTTGCAAACTCTTGGCATTCTCTCAACCAGCTTCATGAGGTAGTCACCTGGAATGCATTTCAATTAACAGGTGTGCCTTCTTAAAAGTTTATTTGTGGCATTTCTTTCCTTCTTAATGCGTTTGAGCCAATCAGTTGTGTTGTGACAAGGTTGGGGGGGTATACAGAAGATAGCGCTATTTGGTAACTTTGAAAGTGCAGTCGCAAAACCATCAAGCGCTATGATGAAACTGGCTCTCATGAGGACCGCCACAGGAATGGAAGACCCAGAGTTACCTCTGCTGCAGAGGATAAGTTCATTACAGTTACCAGCCTCAGAAATTGCAGCCCAAATAAATGCTTCACAGAGTTCAAGTAACAGACACATCTCAACATCAAATGTTCAGAGGGGACTGTGTGAATCAGGCCTTCACGGTCTAATTGTTGCAAAGAAACCACTACTAAAGAAACACGAGCAATGTGTTATTTCATAGTTTTGATGTCTTCACTATTATTCTACAATATAAAAAATAATAAAAATTAAGAAAGACCCTTGAGTGAGTAGTGTACGACATACATTTAAAAATATATTATCACATATTTTAAACCCATATGTAAACGTGACATACATTTTAAACTATATGATCATATATGAATTATTTTCTAATTGCATTTAGTGTTAGGCAACCTTTGTATCAACTGTAGATGTTGCCATCTCATTTTGAGATTAGATTGAGATGGTGTAGACTATTGTAGGTTTATAATTTGTGATGTACACGTTTTGAAAACGCACAGAGACCTATCTAAGTATGAATGTTTATTTTCATACACTATAGTTGTGGCTGCCCATAAGGTTATGGAATCACATTGTATTTATAAAACATGGTTTAGATATTATTGTAATCAATGACTGTATATGGTTGTAATCCACTATCATTTTGGGCTAAGTCCTCCATGGATTTCCATTGGGAATTGTTTATGCCTGTTGCCACCAGCAGGGGATGAGGGAGCACAGCCCTTTGCGTTGAGGGGGCCCCTCAACAACACTCGAAGAAGACACCTGTGACAACTTTACCTTTCTACTTATCTCTTTTTCCTTTGTTCTCTTAAACAAGTATGTGGTGTACACAAGTACATTATCTATAGAAAATGTTAAATATATAAATTGATTGAGTGAAAACTGTTAGCGATCTTGACATAGAGATGACTGGGTTTGCAGCTAAGCAAGGCTAGCCCATAGATTAACATCAGAACAAATGGCGGCAGATAATAGTCTGGTTTTAATTTATTGATTTATAGCTCCTCTGAGGTAATATCGTGGTTTCTTTTCTACTCCGTTTATATGGTCTAGGCCCTGACATCTCCCTACCCAAGTGTTATATATTTCAAAGTTGCATTTGTTTAATTTTAACTGTATACACTAATGCTAAGCTAACTGCGCTAACGCTAGCCTGTCAAGCCTATAGGGTTGCTATTAGCTTAGCGGCTACCGTTAGCTGGCTCAGTGTTGAGATGTCAATGTAGTATTCAAGTCAATGTATTAGCTAGTACTACTTTTAAATACAGAGGATATATAATGTTACTGTACTTACAGTACTTTATAGTCTTTTACAGCATCTGACTGAATTATTAATGTTCCCCCTGGCTCGAACTTTACAGTCCCAAAAAACCTATGGAGGGCAGCCATGTCAAATCAAATCAAATCAAATTGTATTTGTCACATATACAACAAGGGTAGACCTTACAGTGAAATGCTTACTTACAAGCCCTTAACCAACAATGCAATTTTAAGAAAGAATACCAAAAAGAAAACAACATTAAATTAAAAAATAATAAGAAATAAAAGTAACAAATAATTAAAGAGCAGCAGTAAAATAACAATAGCGAGGCAATATACAGGGGGTACCGATACCGAGTCAATGTGCGGGGGCACCAGTTAGTCGAGGTAATTGAGGTCAGAGGTACATGTAGGTAGAGTTATTAAAGTGACTATGCATAGATAATAAACAGAGAGAAGCAGCAGTGTAAAAGGGGTGGGGGGGGGGGGGGGCAATGCAAATAGTCTGGGTAGCCATTTGATTAGATGTTCAGGAGTCTTATGGCTTGGGGGTAGTTTAAAAGCCTCTTGGACCTAGACTTGGCGCTCTGGTACCACTTGCTCTGTGGTAGCAGAGACGGTGGCTGGAGTCTTTGACAACTTTTAGGGCCTTCCTCTGACACCGCCTGGTATAGAGGTCCTGGGTGGCGGGAAGCTTGGCCCCAGTGATGTACTGGGCCGTACACACTACCCTCTGTAGTGCCTTGCGGTCAGAGGCCGAGCAGTTGCCATACCAGGCAGTGATGCAACCAGTCAGGATGCTCTCGATGGTGCAGCTGTAGAATATTTTGAGGATCTGAGGACCCATGCCAAATCTTTTCAGTATCCTTAGGGGGAATACGTTTTGTCGTGCCCTCTTCACGACTGTCTTGGTGTGCTTGGACCATGTTAGTTTGTTGGTGATGTGGACACCAATAAACTTGAAGCTCTCAACCTGCTCCACTATAGCCCAGTCGATGAGAATGGGGGCGTGCTCGGTCCTCCTCTTTTTCCTGTAGTCCACAATCATCTCCTTTATCTTGATCACGTCTTCACTACCATTTTCAACCTCTCCCTGAGGGAGAGGTTGTCGTCCTGGCACCACATGGCCAGGTCTCTGACCTCCTCCCTATAGTCTGTCTTGCCACTGTCGGTGATCAGGCCTACCACTGTTGTGTCATCGGCAAACTTATTGATGGTGTTGGAGTCATGCCTGGCCATGCAGTCATGAGTGAACAGGGAGTATAGGAGGGGACTGAGCACGCACCCCTGAGGGGCCCCCGTGTTGAGGATCAGTGTGGTGGGTGTGTTGTTATCTACCCTTACCACCTGGGGTGGCCCGTCAGGAAGTCCAGGATCCAGTTGCAGAGGGAGGTGTTTAGTCCCAGGGTCCTTAACTTAGTGATGAGCTTTGAGGGCACTATGGTGTTGAACGCTGAGCTGTAGTCAATGAATAGCATTCTCACATAGGTGTTCCTTTTGTCCAGGTGTGAAAGGGCAGTGTGGAGCGCAGTAGAGATTGCATCATCTGTGGATCTGTTGGGGCGGTATGCAAATTGGAGGTTGTCTAGGGTTTCTGGGATAATGGTGTTGATGTGAGCCATGACCTGCTTTTCAAAGCACTTCATGGCTACAGACTCTTCATGGCTACGGATCGGTAGTCATTTAGGCAGGTTACCTTAGTGTTCTTGGGCACAGGGACTATGGTGGTCTGCTTGAAACATGTTGGAATTACAGACTCAGACAGGGAGAGGTTGAAAATGGCAGTGAAGACACTTGCCAGTTGGTCAGTGCATGCTCGGAGTACACGTCCTGGTAATCCGTCTGGCCCTGCGGCCTTGTGAATGCTGACCTGTTTAAAGGTCTTACTCACATCGGCTACGGAGAGAGTGATCCCACATCGTCCGGAACAGCTAATGCTTTCATGCGTGTTTCAGTGTTACTTGCCTCGAAGCGAGCATAGAAGTAATTTAGCTCGTCTGGTAGGCTTGTGTCACTGGGCAGCTCGTGGCTGTGCTTCCCTTTGTAGTCTGTAATAGTTTGCAAGCCCTGCCACATCCGACGAGCGTCGGAGACGGTGTAGTACGATTCGATCTTAGTCCTGTATTGACGCTTTGCCT